TGCCATGCTGATTGAAAAGAACAAAACTGGAGGAATCACATTACCTGAGATCAAATTATACTATAGAACTTTAGTAACTGAAACAGCATGGTACTGGCATGAAAAGAAACACATAGACCAATGGAACAAAATAGAGAAAAATCTACCGTGAACTCATTTTTTTTTTTTTTTTTTTGAGACCGAATTTTTTCCCCTTTTGCCCAGGCTGGAGTGCAATGACTTGATCTCGGCTCACTGCAACCTCTGCCTCTTGGGTTCAAGCAATTCTCCTGCCTCAGCCTCCTGAGTAGCTGGGATTACAGGCATGCGCCATCATGCCTGGCTAATTTTGTTTTGTTTTGTTTTTTCTTGGAGACACAAGGTTTCTTCATCTTAGTCAACCTGGTCTCCAACTCTCGACCTTAGGAGATCTGCCCACCTCAGCCTCCCAAAGTGCTGGGATTACAGGCGTGAGCCGCCGCACCTGAACTAGTGAACTCATTTTTGACAAAGGTACCAAGAATGTACACTGAGGAAAAGACAGTCTCTTCAATAAATGGTGCTGGGAAAACTGGATATCCATATGCAGAAGAATGAAACTAGACCCCTATCTCTCACCATATACAAAAAGATACAAATTAAAATGCATTTAAGATTTAAATATAAGACCTCAAACTATGAAACTACTAAAAGAAAATATGGAGGAATCTCTTCAGGACATTGATCTGGGCAAAGATTTCTTGAATAATATCCCACGAGCACAGGTAACCAAAGCAGAAATGGACAAGTGTGATTATATCAAGTTAAAAACCTTCTGCCCGGTGGCTGGCCGGGGTGGCTCATGCCTGTAATCCCAGAGAGAGGCCAAGGCAGGTGGATCAGCTAAGGTTGGGAGTTCAAGTCCAACCTGGCCAACATAGAGAAACCCCATCTCTACTAAAAATACCAAAGTAGCCATGCATAGTGGTGCATGTATGTAGTCCCAGCTACTCAGGAGGCTGAGGCAGGAGAATCGCTTGAATCTGGAAGGCCCAGGTTGTGGTGAGCCAAGATCACACCATTGCACTCCAGCCTGGGCAACAAGAGCAAAACTCCATCTCAAAAAAAAAAAAAAAAAAAGCTTCTGCACGACAAGGAAAAAAATCAACAAAGTGAAGAGACAAAGAGACAACACACAGAATGGAAGAAAACACATTTGCTCACTACCCATCTGACAAGGGATTGATTAATAACCGAATAAATAAGGAGCTCAAACAACTCTATTGGAAAAAAAAAATCTAGTACTCCAATCAAACATTGAGCAAAAGATATGAATAGGCATTTCTCAAAAGAAGATATACAAATGACAAACAGGCATATAAAAAGGTGCTCAATATCACTGGCCATTAAAGAAATGCAAATCAAAACTACAGTGAGATATTATCTCATTTCAGTTAAAAAGGCTTTTACCCAAAAGTCAGGCAATAACCAATGCTGATGAGGATGTGGAGAAAAGGAAACACTCATACATTGTTGGTGGGAATGTAAATTAGTACAACCACTATGAAGAACAGTTTGGAGGTTTCTCAATAGAACTAAAAACAGGCCGGGCGCGGTGATTCACACCTGTAATCCCAGCACTTTGGGAGGCCAGAGCAGGTGGATCACCTGAGATCTGGAGTTTGAAACTAGCGTGGCCAACATGGTGAAACCCCATCTCTACCAAAAATACAAAAAATTATCCAGGCATGGTGGCGGGCGCCTGTAATCCCAGCTCCTTGGGAGGCTGAGGCAGGAGAATCCCTTGAACCCAGGGAGCTGAGGTTGTGGTGAGCTGAGATTGCACCATTGCACTCCAACCTGGGCAACAAGAGTGAAACTCCGTCTCAAAAAAAAAAACAAAAAAAACAACTAAAATTGGAGCTGCCATATGATTCAGCAATCTTACTGCTGGGTCTATACTCAAGGAAAATCAGTATATCAAAGGGTTATGTGCACTCTCATGCTTGTTGCAGCACTATTTACAATAGCTAAGATTTGGAAACAATGAAAATATCCATCAACAGATGAATGGATAAAGAAAATGTGAGCCGGGCACGGTGGCTCACGCTCGTAATCCCAGCACTTTGGAAGGCCAAGGAGGGTGGATCACCTGAGGTCAGGGGTTCGGGACCAGCCTGGCCAACATGGTAAAACCCTGTCTCTACTAAAAATACAAAAATTAGCTGGGTGTGGTGGTGGGTGCCTGTAATCCCAGCTACAAGGGAGGCTGAGGCAGAAGAACCACTTGAACCCGGGAGGAAGAGGTTGCAGTGAGTGGAGATCACACCACTACACTCCAGCGTGGGCAACAGAGTGAAACTCTGTTTCCATAAAAACAAGAAAGAAAATGTAGTACTTATACACAATGGAGTACTATTCAGCCATAAAAAGAAAGACTTCCTTGAGACATAAGTTTATGCTGTTTATTTGTGATCGTTCTTCTTTTCGGATGTAGGTGTTTATTGCTATAAAATTTCCTCTTTGCTGAATCCCGTAAGTTTTGGTAGGTTTTGTTTCCATTTTTGTTTGTCTCAAGATATTTTTTTTGATTTTGTCTTTATCCATTGACCAATTGGTTGTTTAGAAACATGCTGTTAAATTTTCATTTATTTGTGAATTTCCAAAAAGTCTTTTTATCATTTACTTCTAATTTTATATCTTTCTGGTTGAAAAATGCACTTGACAATATTTCAGTCTAATTAAATTTGTTAAGACTTGTGACCTAACATAAGCTGTACCATGGAGAATGATTTGTGTGCTCTTGAGAAGAATGTGTATTCTGTTGCTATGGAATGGAAGGCTTTTTATAAGTCTGCTATGGACTAACGTGTATTTCAAGTCTAATATTCCCTTATTAATTTCCTGACTTGATGATCTGTCCATTGTTGAAAGTGGGGTATTGAAGTCTCCTAATATTATTATATTACAGTCTGCCTCTCTCTTTGGATCTATTAACATTTGCTTTTTATATGTAGGTGCTCCAATGTTGTTTGCATATATATTTTAAATTGTTGTATCTTCTTGATAAATTGATTCCTTTATCATTGTATAACAACCCTCTTAGTCTCTGTACTAGTCCATTCTCACATTGCTATATAGAAATACCTGAGACTGGGTAATTCATAAGGAAAAGAGGTTTAATTGGCTCATGGTTCTGCAGGCTGTACAGGATGTATGATGCTGGCATCTTCTTGGCTCCTGGGGAGACCTCAGGAAACTTACAATATGGCAAAAGGCCAAGGCAGAGCAGTCATGTCACATGGCCAGGGCAGGAGCAAGAAAGTGAGGGCCAGAGGCGCCACACACTTTGAAACAACCAGGTCTCACAAGAACCCACTCACTATCACAAGGACAGTATCAAGGGAATGGTGCTAAACCATTCGTGAGAAATCCTCTGTCATAATCCAAAAATCTCACGTTAGGCTGCATCTCCAACACTGGGGATTACAATTCGACATGAGATTTGGTGGGGACACAGATCCAAACCATATCAGTCTTGTTTTAGTTTTTTACCTAAAGTTTATTTTTTCTTAAATAAGTATCACTACCCCTGCTCTCTTTTGGTTTTCATTTGCATAGAATATCTTTTCCCATCCTTTCACTTTCAATCTATGTGTGGCCTTAAAGGCTAAGTGAGTATCTTTTAGGGAGCACGTAATTGGGTCTTGTTTTTTATTAATTCAGTCACTCTATGCCTTTTGATTGGAGAATTTAATCAAGGTAATTATTGATAGATAAGGACCTCTACTGCTATTTTTTTTTTCTTCCTGAGACAGAGTTTTGCTCTTGTTGCCCAGACTGGAGTGCAATGTTGTGATCTCGGCTCACTGTAAACTCCGTCTCCTGGGTTCAAGTGATTCTCCTGTCTCAACCTCCCGAGTAGCTGGGATTACAGGTGCCCGCTACCACACCTGGCTAATTTTTGTATTTTTAGTAGAGACCGGGTTTTGCCATGTTTGCCAGGCTGGTCTCGAGCTCCCGACCTCAGGTGATCTGCCTGCCTCGGTCTCCCAAAAGTTATGGCATTAAAGGCATGAGCCACTGCACCGGCCTTTCTGGTTATTTTATAGAGCCTTTGTTTTTTTCTTTCTCTTGCTGTCTTCCTTTATGAATAGATGATTTGCTCTAGTAGTATGCTTTGATTACTTACTTTTTATCATTGTATATCTACTATAGGTTTCTGTTTTGTGGTTACCATGGGGCTTACATAAAACATCTTACAGATATAACAAGCTAGTTTGAGCTGATAAAAATTTAACTTTGACCACATTAAACAACTGTACAATTTTACTCCACCCTGCACATATTTTTTGTACACTGATACAATTTACATATTTTATATTGTATAGCCCTTAAAAATTATTGTAGTTGTTTTTAAGCTTTAAAAACACTGATCATATTTGAGATTATTGCACACTGAGATGGTCTTTCTGCCTGCATCTCATGGTTACACTGTATCTTTTGCAACTGTGCGTTTGTATGACTTTTTTAAAAAGTTTTATTTTATTTTTAATTTCCAATAATAATTGTATTTACTTATGGGGTACAGTGTAATGTTTTGATACATGTATACATGTGGAATAATCAAATCAGGCAAATTAGCATATACATCACATCAACCATTTATTATTTCTTTGTGGGAAGAATATTGATTGGCTGATTGATTGAAACTGGGTCTTACTTTGTTGCCTAGGCTGGTCTCAAAGTCCTGGACTCAAGTGATCCTCCCACCTCAGCCTCTCAAAGCATTGGGATTCGAGGCATGAGCCACCATGCTTGGCTGAAAGAACATTTTAAAATCTTCTCTTTTAGCTATTCTGAAATATACATTATTATTAACTATAGTCCCTGTGCTGTGCAATTGAACACCAGAACTCATTATCCTGTCTAACTGTAACACAGTAACCATTGACCAACATCTCCCCTTTGCCTGTCCATTCCCAACCCCCTCTCCTCAGCCTCTGGTAACCACCATTCTACTCTCTACTTCTAAGAGTTAAACTCTTTTAGAGTCCAGATCAAAGCGAGATCATATGGTATCTGTCTCTGTGCCTGGCTTATTTCACTTAACATAATGTTCTCTAGATTTATTCATTCATTCAAGTTGTTACAAATAGAATTTCCTGTTCTTTTAAGGGTGACTAGTGTTCTATTGTGTGTGTTTATATATACATATATATGACATATATATATGACACTAGAACTTATTCCTCCCATCTATCTCTAATTTTTTATCTGTTAACTAGCTTTTCCCTACCCTACCTTCCTCCCTTCCCTTTCCAGCTTTTAATGACCATGATTCTACCTTTTACTTCTATAAGCTGAACTTTTTTAGCTCCCACATATGAGTGGCATTTATCTTTCTGTACTTGACTTACTTCACTTAACATACTATCCTCCAGGTTCATCCATGTTGCCACGAATGACAGAATTTCATTCGTTTTCATAGTTGAATAGTATTCTGCTGCACATATGTACCACATTTTCTTTATCCATTCATCTGCTGATGGACATTTAGGTTGATTACAAATTGTGGCTATTGTGATCAATGCTGCTATAAACTTGGGGGCACAGAGATCTCTTCAACATATTGATTTACTTTCTTTTGAATAAATACCCAGCAGTAGGATTTATGGATTATATGGTAGTTCTGTTTTTAGTTTTTTGATAAACTTCCACACTGTTTTCCATAATGGCTGTACTAATTTACATTCCCACCAACAAGGTGTAAGATTTCCCTTTTCTCCACATCCTTATCAGCATTTGTTATTTTTTGTCTTTTTGTTTTTGTTTTCTTTTTTGCCTTTTTCCACATATTCTAATTTGTCTTTTTGATAATAGCCATTTTAACTGGGGTGAGATAAAGTCTCATTGTGGTTTTGATCTGCATTTCTCTGATGGTGATGGTAAGCATTTTTTCACATACCTTTTAGCCATTTGTATGTCTTCTTTTGAGAAATGTCAATTCAGATCATTTACTCATATTTTAATTGTATTATTATTGGGTTTTTTGCTATTGAGTTGTTTGAGTTCCTTATATATTCTGGTTACTAATCCCTTGAGAGCCTCTCAAACCTTTTCTATGGATGTGCATGCTCATGGTTATGCACATTCTCCCAATCTCATAGAGTCCCGTTGCCAACAGTAAGCTGCCTTCTTTTCCCTAGGGCAGTGTGCTGAAAGGCCGTAACATTGGATGCATGCTCCACTCCCCGCACCTCCCTCCTGAGGAAGAAGTCTCAGGGTCCTGTTCCTCCTCCTGACCCTACAGAGCTGTGCCGGCTGCAGTATGCTGTCCACCTTTTTTCTTTTTTCTTGGCTGCCCCCAGGTGTTCAAACTATGCCAGTTCCCTCAAAAATCTCATATTGGAGATTAATTGAGATAGGACAGGTAGTGCCTGAAGGTACTGGGGATGTTAGATGCATGCTCCACTATCTCTTTCTCCTGAAGAAGTCATGGGCTGAGACCGTCTCTCTCAGCACTGAGCTGGGCCAGTTTAAGGGGGTGGCTCATGCAGGTAAAGTGAAATTTCTCTTCTTACCTGTTTCAACATGGCTGTTGCTGATTTTGTGCTTTTTTGAAGAACGACAATTTCTTAACTGGGTTCTGAATTACTAATAAAGGTATTTTGATCTCTATATTGTTAAATTGGTGTTTCTGTGGTGAGATCAGGGCTGGGACTTCCTATTCTGCCACTTTGCTGACATCACTCCAAGATCTTATTTACCTAATAGAGAGATTTACAAGCATGTATTTCCACCTAAGCACTATTTTAACTAAATCCCATAAAATTTAATTTGTTGTGTTTCATTTTGTTCAAAACAGTTTTCTAATTTCCCTTATGCTTTATTTCTTTATTCATGGATTATTTGGAGTGTGTTGTTTAATTTCCAAATTTTTGTTGATACACAATATTTGTACATATTTATGAGGTACATGTGATATTTTGTTACATGCATGGAATATGTAATGACCAAGTTGAAAGTATTTAGGGTATGCATCACCTCAAGTATTTATCATTTCTATATGTTGAGGACCTTACAAGTCCTCTCTTCTAGCTATTTTGAAATATACAATACATTGTTGTTAACTGTAGTCATCCTATTCTGTTATTGGAGATTAGAACTTACTCCTTCTATATAACTGTATGTTTGTACCCATTAACCAACCGCTGTTCATCTCCCAGCCTCTAATAGATATTATTTTACTCTCTACCTCCAGATCGACTTTTTTAACTCCCACATATGAGTGAGAACATGTGATGTTTGTATTTTGGTGCCTGGTATATTTCACTAAGTATAATAACCTCAAATACCATCCATGTTGCTGTAAATGACATGATTTCATTCTTTTTGTGGCCAAATAATATTCTATTGTGTATATATACCACATTTTCTTTATCCATTCATTTGTTGATGGACACTTACAAAGTCTATATCTTTGCTATTGTAAACAGTCCTGCAATAAACATGGGGGGGGTGCAGGTATTCTTTAATATGCTAATTTAATTTCCTTTGGATAAATACCCGGTAGTGGGATTGCTGGATCATATCTTAGTGCTATTTCTAGTTTCTTGAGAGATATCCATACTGTTTTTCATAGTGGCTGTATTAATTTACATTTCCCCTAACAATGTATAAAAATTTCCTGTTCTCCACATCTTCGCTATCATGTGTTGTTTTTTGCCATTCTAACTGGGTTAAGATTAATTTGCATTTCCCTGATGATTAGCTATGTTGAGCATTTTTTTACACATAAAATTAGTGATGTTGAGCGTTTTTTATGTGTAATTTTGGCCATTTGTGTGTCTTCTTCTGAAACATGTCTATGCATGTCTTTTGCCCACTTTGTAATGGGATTATTTATTTTTTGTTGTTTTTAAGTGGTTTATGTTTCTTGTGTATTCTGGATATTAGTCCTTGTCAGATAAATAGTTTGCAAATATTTTCTCCCATTTAACGGTTTGTCTCTTCATTCTGTTGATTGTTTCCTTTGCTACGCAGATGCCTTTTAGTTTACTATAGTCCCATTTGTCTATTTTTGTTTTTGTTTCCCAGGCTTTTGAGGTCTTAGATATAACATCTTTGCCTAGACCAATGTCCTGAAGTTTTCCTCTTATGGCTGCTTCAAGTAGTTATAGAGTTTCAGATCTTATGTTTAAGTATTTAATCCGTCTTAAGGTAATTTTTATATGGTAAAAGATAGGGGTGCAGTTTCATCTTTCTGCATATGGATATCCAATTTTCCCAGCACCTTTATTGAAGAGGAAGGTGTTCTTTCCCCAGTGTATGTTCTTGGCACCTTTGTTGAAAATCAGTTGGCTGTAAATACGTGGATTTATGTCTATGTTTTTTATTATGCTCCATTGGTCTGTGTGTCTGTTTTTATACCAATGCCATGGTGTTTTGGGTAATATAGCCTCATAATATATGTTGATGTCAAGTAGTGTCATGCCTTCAGCTTTGTTCTTTTTTCTTGGGATTTCTTTGGCTAGTTGGGGTCTTTTGTGATTTCATACAAATTTTGAGAATGTTTTTTCTATTTCTATGAAAAAATGATGTTAGTATTTTGATAGAGATTGCATTAAATCTGGAGATTGCTTTGGGGAGTATGGTCATTTTAATGATATTAATTCTTCCAATTCAAGAGCATGGGGTATCATTCTATTTATTTGTGTCCTTTTCTATTTCTTTTATCACTGTTTTACAGTTTTCCTTGTAGAGGTCTTTTGCCTCCTTGGATAAATTTATTCCTAGGTATTTTTGTGCCTGTTTTAAATGGGATTGCCTTCTTGATTTCTTCCTCAGCTAGTTGCATTAGTGTATGGAAATGCTACTGATTTTTGTTAGTTGATTTTGTATCTTGCGACTTCCCTTAGGTTTTTCTATGTGTAAGATTATGTCACATGCAAAGAAGGATAATTTGACCTCCTCTTTTCCAGTTTTGATGCTTTTTACTTCTGTCTCTTGTATTATTGCACTGGCTAGGACTTCCAGTACTGTATTGAATAGGAGTGGTGAAAGTGGGCATCCTTGTCTTGTGCCATTTCTTAGAGAAAAGGATTTCAGCTTTTCTCCATTCAGTGTGATATTACCTGTGTGTTTGTCATACATGGCCTTTATTATGTTCAGATATGTTCCTTCTATGCCTAGTTTGTTGAGAGTTATTATCATGAAATAACAACGAATTGTATCGAATGCTTTTCTATTGAGATGATCATATAGTTTGGTGCTTCATTCTGTTGATGTGATAAGCGTCTGTTAAATCATCCTTGCATCCCTGGGATAAATCCCACTGGATCACGGTGCATTATATTTTTAATGTTCTGTTGGATTCAGTTTGATAGTATTTTCTTGAGCATTTTTGCTTCTATGTTCACTTTTTTATTTGTTGTTGTTGCATCCTTGTCTGGTTTTGGTATCAGGGTAATGCTGCCCTTGTAGAATGAGACAGGGAAAATTCTCTTGCGTTTTTTGGAATAATTTGAGAAGCTTTGGTGTTAGCTCTTCTCTGTATATTAGGTAGAATTTGGCAGTGAAGACATCTGGTCCTTGTCTTTTTTGTTGTTGGTTTGGGAAGAAGACCTTTTTATTATTATTACCAGCTTAATTTCATTACTTGTTATTGGTTTCTTTCAGTTTTCTTCCTGATTCAATCTTGGTAGGTTTTATGTGTCCAAGAATTTACCCATTTCCTTAGGTTTTCCAGTTTGTTAGTGTATCACTTTAAAATAGTCTCTGATGATCTGCTATATTTCTGTGTTATCAGTTATAGTGTCTCCTTTTTATTTTCAGTTTTAATTGTATCTTCTGTCTTTTTTTTTTTTTTTTTTCAGACGGAGTCTTGCTGTGTCACCCAGGCTGGAGTGCAGTGGCATGATCTAGACATACCACAACCTCTGTCTCCCAGTTCAAGCAATTCTCCTGCCTCAGCCTCCCAAGTAGCTGGGATTACAGGTGCAGGCTACCACACCCAGCTAATTTTTTGTAGTTGAGATGGTGTTTCACCATATTGGCCAGGGTGATCTCGAACTCCTGACCTCAAGTGATCCACCTGCTTCAGCCTCCCAAAGTGCTGGGATTACAGGCTGGCCTTTTTGTCATTTTTCTGCAACCTCTGCCTCCCGAGTTCAAGCGATTCTCCTGCCTCAGCCTTCCAAGTAGCTGGGGTGACAGGCATGCACCACCACACCCGGCTAATTTTTGTATTTTTCTTAGAGATGGGGTTTTACCATGTTAGCCAGGGTGGTCTCGAACTCCTGACCTCAGGTGATCTGCCCGCCTCGGCCTCCCAAAGTGCTGGGATTACAGGTGTGAGCAACTGCGCCCAGGCTGTACCTTCTGTCTTTTTATCTCGGTTAGTCTAGCTACAATTTAACAATTTTGTTTATCTTTTCCAAAAACCAACTGTTTGTTTTGTCTCCTTTGTAGCGGGTGTGTGTGTCTAATTTTTTTAGCTTTGGTATGATCTTTATTATTTCTTTTCTTCTACTAATTCTGGATTTGGATCTTCCCTGCTTTTCTATTTCTTTGAAGTACATCATTAGATTGTTTATTTAAAACCTTTTTGCTTTTCTGATGAAGGTGCTTATCGCTGTAAACTTTTCGCTTAGTGCTGCTTTTGCCATACCCCATTGATTTTGATATGTGGAGTCTTAATTCTCACTTGCTTTTTTTCTTAATTTTTAGTTTCTGTGGGTACGTAGTAAGTATATATCTTTGAGGCACATAAGATGTTTTGGACCCGGCACAGTGGTTCACGCCTTTAATCCCAGCATTTTGGGAGGCCAAGGCAGGTGGATCACCTGAGGTCAGGAGTTCAAGACCAGCCTGACCAATATGGTGAAACCCTGTCTCGGCTAAAAATACAAAATTTAGTCAGGTGTGGTGGTGGGCACCTGTAATCCCAGCTACTTGGGAGGCTGAGACAGGAGAATCGCTTGAATCCTGGAGGCGGATGTTGCAGTGAGCTGAGATCGCACCACTGCACTCCAGCCTGGGCAACAAAGACTGAAACTCCATCTCAAAAAAAAAAAAGATATTTTGATGCAGGCATATAGTATGTAATATTCACATCAGGGTAAATGGGGTAGCCCAATTTTCACTTATTTTAAGAAATTTTTTCAAAATCTGCTGTTATTCTGATAGGGGTTCCCTTATAAGTGACTGACTGCTTTATTCTTGCTGTTTTTAGAATTTCTCTTTGTCTTTTTGCAGTTTGATGTGCCATGGAGACCTTTTAAATTGTA